GTTGATGGCACGTCAGGACCTGAAAGACTTGCAGCTCAAATTGATCGGCAACTGTCTGCTGGCCTCGGCCTTTGTCGGCTACATCTCGCCTTTCTCAATGTCCTTCCGCGTGCAGCTGTGGAAAGAAGGATGGACTGGCGATGTTACCAGCCGCGGGATTCCAATCAGTGCAGGTATTGACCCTCTGAAGGTGCTGTGCACCGAGGCGGACATCGCCAGCTGGCAAAATGAGGGGCTGCCGTCTGACCGCATCTCTGTGGAGAATGCTGCAGTGGTCACAAGCTGCTCGCGATGGCCTCTCATGATCGATCCACAGCTGCAAGGTGTGAAGTGGATCAAGCAGCGATTGGGCGAGGACCTTTCCGTGTTGCAGTTCACCATGAACCAGTGGTTACAAAAAGTTATCTTTGCCATTCAGATGGGTGGCCAGCTTTTGATTGAAGCAGTCGGCCAGGAGATTGACGCTATCCTAGAGCCTGTCTTATCCAGGGCTGTGATTAAGCGAGGCCGAAGTGCAATGATCATCAAGATTGGAGGTGAAGAGGTGGACTACGATCCCAAGTTCCAGCTCTACCTGCAGTCGAAGCTGCCAAACCCACATTACAGGCCGGAGATTGCTGCCCAGTGTACAATCATCAACTTCATTGTCACACCGGATGGTTTGGAGGACCAGATCTTGGCGATGGTCGTGAATGTCGAGAAGCCTGAGCTGGAGCAGGAGAAGCAGGAGCTGGTGCGGAGACAGAACGATTTCAAGGTCACCCTGTCCCAGCTTGAGAGCGATTTGCTGTCCCAGCTTTCCACAGCAGACCCTGCGACAATTCTTGACAACATTCCTTTGATCGAGGGCTTGGAGAAGACCAAAGCCACCTCCAAGGAGATTGCCATCCAAGTAGAGCAGGCTCAGAAAACAGAGGTGGAAATCAACACGTCGCGCGAGCTGTACCGTCCTGTCGCTGCGGAGGGTTCTATGTTGTTCTTCTTGATTATTCAGTTGTGCTTCATCGAACACATGTACCAGTTTTCTTTGGATTCCTTCGTGAACTTCCTGTACAAAGCTATCGATCGCACAGAGCCCACTGACGACATCACTGAGCGCGTTAAGCGGCTGATTGCTGTCATCCGCATGACAATCTTCCGCTGGGTGAATCGTGGACTCTTTGAGCGTCACAAGCTGATATTCTGTTCGATGCTTACCTTCAAGCTGTTCCAGAAGGGGTTCTTGCAAGAAGATTTCAACGTGTCCTATTTCAACTACTTGCTCAAAGCACCGATGGCTGTCGGCATGGAAAACCCACTGCAGGAGTGGCTGCCATCAAAGAATTGGGGCATGATTCTGAAGCTGAACGACTTGGAAGGTTTCGAGAGCTTCGCGCAGAACATGGAGAAGGATGCACCCAACCGCTTCAAAGAGTGGTTCAATGAGATTGCGCCAGAAGAGGTGAAGTTGCCATTGGATTGGAAGCGACTGGACTCTGTACCCTTCCAGAAGCTTTTGGTTCTGAGAGCCTTGCGACCCGACCGGTGCTGCGCTGCCATGGCAGAGTGGATTCGCAATGCGTTGCCCAATGGTCGAGACTACATGGACTGCGACGGCTCCCTCTCCTTTGCGGCAGTCTTGAGCAACTCCTTTGAGGATTCCACCAGCACCACCCCCATCTTCTTTATCCTGTCTCCGGGCGCGGACCCAGTCAAAGAGGTGGAATCGATGGGCAAAAAGAGGCCAGAAGGCTTGAGCCTGGGTCAAAACTATTGGAACGTTGCCATGGGTCAGGGACAAGATGTCGTTGCTATGGGCAAGCTGGACATCGGACACCGCGAAGGGCATTGGGTCATGTTGCAGAATATCCACCTGATGCCCAAGTGGTGCGTGGAGCTTGAGAAGAAGCTGGATGTCTTCGCAGTGGAGAACAGCCATCCCAACTTCCGATTGTTCCTGTCGGCAGATCCCAGCAAGGGAATCCCGATTGGCATACTGGAGCGTTCCATCAAGTTGACCAACGAGCCTCCACAAGGTATGCTGGCCAACTTGCGGCGATCGTTTGCCCTCTTCCCGAAGGAGGACTTCGAGGACAAGGATGCCAAGGTCAAGTCCATCCTCTTTGCCTTGTGCCACTTCCACTCTATCATGTTGGAGCGAAAGAAGTTTGGCCCCATGGGCTACAACATGATGTATCCATTCTCAGCCGGAGACTTGCGGGACTCTGCTCAAGTGCTGTACAACTACCTGGAAGGTTCTTCCGCGGTGAAGATTCCATGGGACGACTTGCGCTACATTTTCGGAGAGATCATGTATGGAGGACACATCGTGGATGATTGGGATCGACGCATGTCGCAGAAGTACTTGCTGTATTTCATGCGGGACGAGCTGCTGGACGAGATTGACATGATTCCATATGCAGAGGGCAAGCTGTCCTGGCCTTCTCCCCAGCCTGCACCGCACGAGAGATACCTCGAGCACATTGAGACAATGCCACCTGAGTCTCCGCTCATGTTCGGTATGCATCCAAACGCGGAGATCAATTTCCGAACCACCGAATGCGACAAGGTCTTCGACATGCTCCAGATGCTGACGAATGGAGGAGGTGGCGGAGAAGGCGATGACGAAGCAGCCATGACGCCAATGACCATCGCCCAGATGACGTGCGACGAAATCTTGGAAGAGGTGAACGAAAAGCGCTTCCCGACCGACGATGTTAACCGTGGTATGACCACGGAAGACAAAGGCCCTTACCAGTTTGTCTTCCTGCAGGAGTGTGAGTACATGAACGCTTTGCTGTACGAGATGGTCAAGGGCCTGCAGGAGACTGAACAACAACCGAGAACAACAGCTCTAGTGCATCCTGTTACTGCCATCGTTCTTGGGATTTCCAAGGCGACGGGACTGCTCTTGAATTTGAAGTTCCTTGACACTTGCGCACAGGAGCTCCAGCTTGGTTTCCGCGGTGAGCTGACCATGAGCGAAAGCAGCTTGTCTTCTCAAATCTTCTCAAATCGGACCAGTCTCATTGCCCTGTCGACGGCCTCTCTCTCTCTCTCTCTTCTCTCTCACTCTCACTCTCACTCTCTCTCTCTCTCTGCACCCTCCTTGCTTCACGATGTTCAGTATTGTCAACGCAAGTCCCGAACTGATGCAAAGCATTGTGCTGTAGCGTTACTTGTTTTGACACATACACGTTCTGGAAGGCATGGAAGACATGGCCACGTGCCTGTACTCGGAGAAGCATCCCGGCAGCAGACGAGTGATCGTTGCAGACTCGTTGGTAGTTGGAGCCTCACTAAAGAAGCGCTGGTTTCAGCGTCCGCCGGCGCTGCAAAGTGAGAACAGCAGACCCCCAGTCAACCCTCCGACACTTGTGCGCCTTAGCCTCAGGCTGCCCATGTGGTGGATTAAGCTTGGCTTCGCGTCCACCCGTCCTCTGAAGTCCTGGCGTGTGAACTTGCAGGCGAACTTTATGCTGGGCTGGGTGGGTTTTGAAGTCTGGGAGACATATGAGACATGGGGGATTGTGGAAACTTTAAGGATTAAGAGATATCAATGAGCTTCGGCAAACAAGACCTGTGAAGCATTCCGGCCGCCACCTGTTGGCAGGAGCGATATGCGCAGCTTGATGACTGGATCAACGACCCGCTCAACATTCCGAAGGCTTGCTGGAAGCAGGAGTTTACAGCACCAATACACAGTTGTGATGTGTTCAGCGGGGGAAGGCTCACCTATTTGAGGCTTTCTGAGATCCATTTGTTTGCGAAGCGGGAACTTCTTGTCGCGCCATGTCTTGTCATGCGCTGTGCAGGTTGTGGATATCTCCAAGCTCTTCAATCCGCAGAGTTACCTGACCGCCATCAAACAGATCACCTGTCAGAATGTGGGCTTAGAGCTCGACAAGCTGCAAGTGCCTTCGGCATGCAGCAACAGACACAAAGATCTCAAAAAAGCTTGCGAGAGCTGAGCAGTGTTGCTTAAACTAGCAAGGATCCAAGACATGACTCAAGCCGACAGGTCTTCACGGATGTTACGAAGAAGGAGCCCAAGCAAATTGAGTCCCCTTGCAAGGACGGAGCCTACGTGCCGCTTGCATAAAGAATACTATCTTGGCGGCCTATCAGTTTTGCGAAGCTCTGCCAATCAAGCCCCATGGCTGTCAGAGGTCCGGCATGTACTTGGAGGGCGCTCGCTGGGACATGACCTCCAACTCCTTGGAAGACTCCAAGCCGAAGGAGATGTTCACCGGCATGCCGGTGATCACATGCAAGGCAGGTGTTCCGGCGGCACCGGATAGAAAGAAGGACTTTTTTCCTTTGATCGGGCAAGGAAATCAGGCCTGTGGGGCATTTTCTCGCATCATCCCTCAGGTCTTGGTGAGGCACTTGACTTGAAGTTGTTCTGTAACCAACCAACTCCAGGCATGGCGAGCGACAAAGTGGACAAGAACATTTACGTTTGCCCTACGTACTGCGTGCCAACTCGTCGGCCGTACTTCGTGTTCGCAGCACAGCTTCGCACCAAGGCAGGTTCGCATGTTCTTGTGCCGGGTAGATGCAAGATTTTCAGCCGGAATGCCGAAGCTGCCCAGGCGCCATCGGACAAGTGGGTTCTCGCGGGTGTGGCGATGATTCTGGATATCGGCCTCTGAGTCGGGCTGCCGTGTGGTGACTCTCGATGCGTAGGGCTAAGCCCTTTTTGCGTATCGAGCCGATGCATTCAGTCCTTGATTTCTTGCTTCTGGGGGTCATGCCTTGTGCATGGCAGTACTGAACGGCAAGCGGCAGAGCAGCCGACAATCAAAGCATAACGTATCTTGCAGACAGAGTGGTGCTGATCCCCATGCAACTTGCCGGACTGCAGTGACAAAAACCATTCGGCGCGCTGGCTGAGGCTTGCACAGTTATGCATCTCCCAGTCTTGATGCCTATAGGCATACATATCGCTGTCTTTGCTCATCCGGATGTTTCTCCACATCTTGTGGCTGAAGCGAGTGAAGCGAGTGCACATTTCCAAGGATCGATGCTTATGCAAAACATGGAGATCTGGCTGCGGCAGAGAGGCTGCTGCAACAAATGAATGCCGCAGGCGGCATCTCCAAGCCTATTGTCTAGCTAAGGCGCTGCACCACTTTCTGTTTTTTTTGGGGGTTTCTACATGCGGAAGGAACATGCACCAGCAGTGGAAAACAGAGAAGCCACACAAGGAAATTTGGTAGCCGAGCAAAGGAGTCAACGAAACACTGTGGATTTCAGTGGCAACCTCACTAGGCAGAGCTGGAGTTTGGTGTGCATTCAGGCCATCTCTTCCGCCCGTATCGATATCCCTTGCACTCATGTTGCGCTCCTTGTGCCGGCCAGAGCATATGGCACGAGGTCGCATCGTCGTTTGCATTTCTGTGTATGGTGTTCTTCGCATGCCGGCGTGCCAAGAACGTTCATTCTTTCATTGGTGAAAACGAAGATCAGAACGCGAAGAGCCTCCCTTTCATCATTCAAGCTGTTTTGCCAGTGAGGCGTATGCAGTGTCCTGCCTAGGTCCTCGTTGCTAGAAGGCAGCCCCAACTGCACGTGCGTGGATTGATGTGGACCTTACACAGGTCTTTTGGAGGCTTTCAGGGCGATCCTAAATTGAGGGGCTTGCCGGAGCGGAACGAGCGATCACATAGAGGCTTTGGCTGAAGTTGGGATTGGCTCACCCTTTCCGATCCCCCCACCCGTTCTTGGTACACGGTATCAGCGTGGGACAAACCGTCTGAGCTAGACGGTCAGGGTTTGATGAGGAAGGCTGATCTGGTTAGGCCCTGGAGACCCTATAGAGACCCCCGGAGTCCGTTGCTGTGGGATCTTGGTGCAAACTCGCACGGCATCTGCGAGAGAAGTTGTTGCTGTTGCAATACTGAGAAAACAGAAAGGCGAAAGGAGCTCCGACGCGTCAAAAGAATTGGTTAAGGCTGAGGCAAGGGCGGACATTGAGAACTGCAACTTTCACGGCCGGGCGCTGCACACAAGAGCCATGCATTCTCAGCAGTGTAGCGACCTGTCGGGGTCAGCACCGTATGCGGAGCGAGCCCGGCTAGACCTGGGATGAGGGAGCCTGAGATGCTCAGGGCATAGCAGCAAGATTCCTGGAACTTTCGACGGGCCTTGCTTCACTGGTCTCCCCGCTTAGAAACTGTCTGTGCGAGAAGAAGGCAGGTCACAAGCATTTATTTCACAACAGAGCCCATTCACCAGTGCTCCTCCGACAGCTGCTTATGCTTGAGCTACAACAACAAGCAACAGTCCACTACAACCAAGCTGCATTGCCGCCATCAGACTCAATATTACGCCATGGGGCGTATTTACCTGATCGACATCACGAAGCTAGACAGCAACGCATGAGACGAATGTACCAGCTGACGGAAACAAGCCAGCTGCTGGGAAAGACTTTCGACGTGCCGAGTAGTAAACCTTCCTTGCATTGGATTCTCGATTATGTCTAGCTCGTGTCAGTCCTTCCCGCGGCGTCCTCTTCAACCGGCCTTGTGTCACCATGGCTAATTACGAGTCTAGTCTAGTTGCTTCGGTGATCTGTCAACGCCGGCTATTCGTGTTGCGAGCCCTTGTGCAGTGGGCTGCGATGTGGGAGCCCGAATTTGTTCAACTACTCGGCCAGGTTGCTGTCAGCTTGATTCAGGGTGTTTTTTGTGGTCTGTGACATACGCCCGTTGGTGCAGGCATATCGCCCGACACCATCACGTTTACCTCGCTCATCAAATGTTGTGCCAAGCTGGGCGATGTGTCAGGACTCTTTGCTGCAGAAGGGTAGTCTGGGTAGGATGGAGGCGCAGTGTTCGAGTCATCCTTCAAAACGGTCATAGGCGGTCATGCTTAGAGTTTGAAGACACCCTGATATCCTTAGTCAGAGTCTTGAGCGTGTGGCAAGTATACCGTTGAACGACAGTTGCCCGAGTGACGTTTTCATGTGTCCTGGAGCAGCCAAGGCGCTTCCAAGTGGCTATCAGAGATGCAGCGGCGTGGTCTTGATGCCGACGTGGTCACCTACACGGTGGGTTGGGGAGGGCATTGGGGGGTGTAAGAATCCTTTGCCATTTCTGGAAGGGCATGCGTTGGAAGATTATGTGACTGCCGGATCCGAGGCAATTATCCATGCCTGTGCCAAAAAAGGGAAGGTTGAGGAGGCGATGCTTGGCAGATGTTACTTCGACTGGTTGGTTTCTCGGTTGACTCACCTGGAACCCGAGAGCAGTCCACAGGCATGGGAAAGCTTTGGGTTTTCCAGGACGCAGTGGATGGAGCACATGCAGAGTTCTGGCCTCCAGGCCGGAGGAAGCACTACCTTGGCGATCCTAGTCACACGTGACAGAAATGCAGGTGTTTTCCAGTTTCTGCATTGCAAGTGGCAATAGTTTGACCTGTATGTAGCCTTAGCCCGCAACGAGCTAACGCATTTGTCTTCGGCATGATCTGGTCATGAAGGCGGACTGCGTAGCCTGGGCAGCACTGATCAATGCATATGCAAAGAGAAGCGATGCCGATGGGGCGCTGGCTTTGCTTCGTGAGTTGGCCGCCTCTGGACTGCAGTGCAAGAGTTTCAGTAGACACCGCACTGAAGAAAACATGTCCCTGTGTTGGTAGAGGGAAGGTCGTCGTGTCCAAGCAAAGTCGATGCCTGGATCCTAGTGACCGAGTGGCTGAGGCTCAAGCTTCGGAGCCAAATGTGGTTGCCTATTCTGCGGTTTTGAAGGCACGAGCCAAATGCTGGCCGCAACCTTTATCTTTTCATCCATTGATGTGTGGCAAGGCATGCATGCCAACTTCTTTCAACTTGCTGGTACTGACTACTTACTAACGCCATTATTTAAGGGCTGACGCCGTTGCCGACCCCCGAGGGCAAGCGTCGGCGCCAGTGCGGACTGGGCGCTTAGGATCGCAGGACTCCGGCTCTTCCCATGTCTGAGACATGGAAAGTCCCAAAGTGAGGCTCACCTGGCAATGGGGAGGCCGAAGCTTGAAAGGCTTGACGTGTGCGAACTGGGGCTCGAGGCTCGAGAGGCTCCACCGGTCAAAACCTCGGGATGCACCAGACGAAACTCGCGAGGCTCCAAGGAGGTGCCACTTGCGCAAGCTGAGGCGCCGTTTGTGCAAACGGAAGCTTGCGATGGAGCTGAGATCGAAATACGGGAGCCTGCCTGCGACGGGCTTTGGCTGCCTGAAGAGAAACGGGGGGGGGCAAGCGGCACGGGGGGTGACGGCCTGCGGGCGTATTTTAGCAGCAGGTGCACTGCTTGCCCAGGCCGACCCGAACGCACGAATGCTTGTGAGGCATTGCTGAAGCTGTGTCCGACTCTATTCATTCTGAAAACGTTCCGAAAGTGTTCTGTGCTTTTCGGAGCAATTATGGCCCACATTTGGATTACTTTTCAAGACAATCCTGAGAGAATCCGACTACAAGTTGGAAAACTTTGGGGCAGACGGCTTCCAGTTTTCCGAGCTCTCGGTTTCAGGATGCAGACCAGCGCATGGCAGGTTCCAGGAGGTTCCTCCAGGTGTGAAATTTTGGCGAGCCGTCTTTTTGCCGTTGCAACTAAGCTTCGCAACCACCCAGCTTGGGTCAGGCTGGTCTGGCCCACGCATCACTTGTTGAAACCTCATGATGGAGGTGATCAAAAAGTTCCAAGCCGGTCCAAGCCCATATACGCTCGTGCGTTCTCCCAGTGTGTCAGGCCTTCGCCCGCACAGCTCAAGCTGATCGTGTTGGGTCGCTGCTGCAGGACCCGGACACTTACAATCAGGTCTTGTCGTGTAGGGTCGCGGACCACTCACCTGGCTTCAGGAAATGCAGGGCTTAGCCGTGACTCCGAACCTCATCACCTGGACCTCAGCCATCGAGGCGTGTGCGAAGAGCCAGCCGAGGTGGGGAGATTCGCACGCAGACGGCAGGCTCGTGTTCTGGACTGTCGTTGCAGGCGCCGCGAGGAGGCAGAGGATCTTCTGCGCCAAGCGATCAGATCTGGGCTGAAGCCTGATGCAAAGCTCATCCGCTCCCTGCCCATACGAGTAGACTTAGAAAATACGACTGGAGGCCTAAGCCGCAGACAGCTTGAGCCCTATGAGGCACTATGATGCGTGCTGTCGGTGCACCTCGCTGCATGAGCCTGTGCCGTGAGTTGGGCGCACCTCGGCTAACCGCAGCCCCCTGTGCACCCCATGCCGTTGCGTTCCAGTTGTGTGCATTTGTGTGCCAGTTTGTGATCTTGCGTTGCCTCCTGGAGGCCACCGAAGCGGCAATGGACGTTTTTGCATCGTCGCTGCAGTCTGGTTTGCCTGATGGTGAGCACACGAAAAAAGGGCGTGAACACTGTGCCAGTTCTGCCACGCAGTCGCGTTTGCCTGCAGCAACAAGCGGTAACGAATCCTGGCCGAAGTTTGACTGAGGAGCAATAACCAGCGCTGTGCCTACCCAACGCACCATCAACCACCAAATCACAATCATTCCAAGTTCACACTGCAGGCCATCTCGGCTCGCAAGAAGCGTGCTGATGAGTCCAGGGAAATGCTGGGGTCCTTGAGGGCCGAACGGTCGGGGCCTTGCGGCCTCGTGCATGAGAAACGAAGTCACTGCTTGGACCACGTGTTGTGGAAGCCAAAACTCCTGGCTCAAGCTTCTGTGGCTTCAGATCTTGCTTTGTTGTTTCGCGGCGATGTGGTCATGGAACGGGTGGAGGGACTTGAAAGTCATGTGTACCTCGGCAGGACTAGTAGAATAGTAGAATCACGAGCGCCATGTCGAATTCTGTTGGAACTTTTGAGGTCTTCTCAGCAGAGTGTTCGACATGGGGGATCTCACGTTGAGTTGGAAGTCCTTGAACGAACATGTTGGGCCTTTGTGAAGAAGAGGGTGCCCGAGAGGGGCGCTGCGAGTGGCTTGCGAAGCGCCACATCGGAACATTGCACCTTCATTCAAATCTGGCTGGCTGGATTAGGATTAGGTCGCTTTTCCAGCTTTGTAGCTAGCGCACCGGCTGAGCGTTTCGGACCACTCCTCTCTGAAAGCAGTAGTAGTAGGTCAGTGAGAGTGTACCTGACATGATTGCTGGGCATGCTTGGCTTCAAGTCTATTCTGATTCCGAATAAGCCGGTGTAGGACACTAGCGCTCAGTGTGTGTGTATGTTTTTGTGTTTGACAAGGGCCTGTGGTCGTTGGGTCGGTTGCTTCATCCATGCTGAGCTTGCGGTCGTGATTGAACCAGTCCCCGAAAGGATAGTTCACTGAATGAAACTTGTGTCGTGCAGCCACAGTGTGGTTCCAACGGAAATTGTTACGCTGATCACGCATCCAGCTTGGGGATGTGTTGTGTTCAGTGTACAAGTGGCATGGTTCAAGCTGTCCAACTGGCTCGTGGCTGCTTTGTCGGCCGTGTTTTGAGGTGTTGCTGTTGCTTTTTGTACGTAGCTGCACATGACATGAGCATGTCGGCATAGACAGGGTTGACTTCGTTGGCGTGAGGCGCAGCAAGTTGAACAAATTGTGCTGGGAGAATGTCCGGCTGACAACGGACGGCCTGGTGCGGGTGGAGGCACGTCAAGAGTGATTCGACTGATTGGCAAACTTTCTGAGGAACATCCATGTGCATGCAGTGCGGCGCAGGTTCAAAGTGCAGACCGACTGCAGCAAATTGTCACACTACTGATTCGTAAAGTGCTGGCAGAGCCTTACTTCAGACGCTACGTTTGCACAGTATGCTTTGCTTTTTCTCCCACGAATGGGACGTCGGTGGTCTCTCTCTGTCTCTCTCTGCCTCTCTCTCTCTCTCTCTCTCTCTTGGTTTTCTTTCTCTCTCTCTCTCAACGAACCGCTCAAGACTCCTGCAGTCTTGCTTTTTTCCTTGCGCAAGATGAGGCGATCTGTACGCAGAGCTGGTCAGTGGGCTTTGGAACAAATACCAGGTCTTCCCGGCGGAAGGTGACATGAAGCCTCACAGTTTTGCTCGAATTTTTCTGAACACTGTCCAGGCCGAGTTTGAAGATTTGTTGGCAAAGCTGGAGTCTGGTCAAACAGGTCGCTCCACACACACCGCTGAGTTGAAGCTGGGGGTTGAGACGAAAAGGACAAGTGAGATGCTGCGGGCTCTCATGATGTTCATGGGGCATCTGTTTTTGAAGCAGCTACTGGCATTAAGAGTTCTGGATCACGTTGTTGAAGAGCTTATTGGCCTGGACGATGCAGCGCGGCCCTGGCCGGAAGAGTATCGGATTGAATGCGTTTGCGAACTGTTTCGCATTGTCGGTTGCAAGCTGGATGAGACCGCACGTGGGATGGAGATGTTTAGCACTCTTGCTCGGAGGTTGCGTGAGATTAACACCAAGTACCAAAGCCTGGCAAAACCAGTTTGCAGCAAGCGAATCGATTTTATCATTGACAGCCTCTTGCGGATGCGTGAGAATTCTTGACAGCCTGGCAGTCTGAATACGGCATGATGCACGGACGGGGAGTCAAACAAGTACCCAGCGTCAGCGCGCGTGCCATTGCTCGATCTTGCAGGAGTTGTTCATCCATGTCGCACAAGGGATCTAGCGTCGAGGATCCAAGTCCGGAGTCCTGCGCGAAGCTGTACAGATCTGTACACAGTTGCACCCGAGTCCTTACTGGGACCGAGCAGGCTCAATTTCCTAGATGGGACTCTGGCTTCGAAGCTGTCTCAGCTCGTGGGCATCTGTGAATGAGAATCAAAAATTTCGGCCTGCAGTGCGGTTTGCCCAAGCATCCATGGTTTCTTCCAGATAGGTTAATATTGAGTTGCCGGATGGACTGCCACAGCCGTCTGCAGCTAAGGCCCTGGCCTGAAAGCCATGGGATGCGGCTGTTCTTTTTCAGCCGTTGGCCCGGCTCCGTTGACTGGGTGCTTTGGGTGTACGCGGGCTCAACTTTGCTTTACCGCTGCATCGGCTCCATGCCTATTTTTATAGGAGGTTTGGACCCTGTTAGGCTTGGAAGCTAACCGAAAGTCGTCTCAAAATCGTGGCTGATACCAATTTGTCGTACTGGATTACATGTGTGTGTGTGTGTGTGGATTTCAGTTGTTGGATCTCCATCCATCGGAAGTATGTTGGACTTGGAGCAATGCTACCCACTACCCTTATTGGGCAAGATGTTCCATTTACGGTTCACTCAACAGCGGCTCGGGGAAGGCAACACAAACAGAGCCAGCTTGGCGAAGCTGCGAAGAGTCATGCCGCACACTCCACCAAATCCATTGTGATCGCATGCCAGGCGGTTGAGCCGATAGAGCTAGCACCAACCACAGGGCAGCCCGGGGCCCAGTTTGAAGCAGTCCCATGGCTTGGTCGTGCAGGGTGTGCAGTCAAGCAAGATCAAGTAGGCCCAGACTGCCCAGTATAGCAAGAATACTGAATACTCTCGGGAGAGAGGCGGGAAATCTTGGATGCTCTTCCCGTGACATGAGCGGACGTGCAGCAAGGCAGCACATGAATGTGTTTGCTGTGCAGACGCTTAGGTTTTTTCAGACCTTCAAGCTGGGGAGAAAGCTTGGCGAGGGCGCCTTTGGACAAGTTCGCCTCACAACTCGGTGCGCAGGGAAACGGGTGTCATTTTGGCATTGAGAACAGGCTCAATCGGAGCGTGAAGCAATGCTGATAGATCGGTACTTTGGATCACGTGTCTGGTATCCCTTGCCAAGCTCCTAAGATCAGGTACTCAAACCAGAACTCCTCACGCCGGGGCCCTTTTGAAGCAGGATCAGCACCGGTGAAATGTACGCTGTGAAGATCATGGACGTGCGCCGGTCTGGGGATGAGCCTCAGCACTGCAAAGTACTTAAGAACTGGTCAGCAGAGTGCCAGATGTTGTTTGTCTCGGGAATGGTTTGATTCAGCTTCCCCTCTCCGACCGAGGATGCGACTATGGACGTGCAAATTCTGAAGCCGGGGCCCTGTTAGTAGCCTGGTGCCTGCTCGGAGGCTGCAGAGAGGAAGTGCCTTTGCAAGCCTGAATAATCATGACCTGGATGTGTGGAGACATGGGATTAGTAGTAGGTCCTACCGTTTGCCTTTGACAGCTTTCGTGGTCGGTTTGGTTCCGTGACACGGTCCACAAGTTGACATGCGGCTTGTTGCAGCGCAGGGAGGCACGGACGGAGTCGCAGCTACTGGGCCAAGTTTCCGGGCATCCGCATGTTGTGGCCTTGCGTCCTGCCAGCAAAGAGGGGTGTTCTGTGAGCTTGCGACTGGTCCCTGTGATTCAGCTCACAGAAGTTCTGTTCCAGCCGTTCTCTAGCGAGATATCGATCACTTTGTCCTTGTCGTCCACACTTCGGGCCTTGCGTGCGAAGGCCTGGTTGGTTCCTGAGGTATGAAACATACCTGGAAACTCCCGGCCTCTTCTACATGATCATGGAAAGGCACCGGGGCAGCAAATCAAACTGCAAGCATGTTGTGGAGCTTCCAAGTTTAAAGCGGAGGTTCGCACGAGTGAACGCCGGATGCAGGTAAGAGCTGAATTGAGATTGCTCTGAGTCTGTTTGCAACTGGAAAAGGTGCTACGGTTCGCTGATGGACAGTCTGTGTGACATGCCGCAACTCACGGAGACAAATCTCCGGCGCATGTTTCGACTCTCGGACACAAGCCTAAAGGCCGTTGGGGGGGAGCTATTGACATGCTTTTTGGATTTCTCATGCCCGCCGACTTTCGAAAAAGCGGAACAGCTTCGTAAGAATACTTCCCGGAATTCGTACATCGCTTCTCCATCCAGGTCAGATGCTACTTGGTATCGGTGCGTGTCACGCCGCGCAGATTGTTCATCGTGCTTCGGCTGCCAAAGGTCCACCTGTGCTCCGCTCATTGCTGCAGCGGATTAGGAAGTGTGAGCAGGGAGTTTAAGCTGACGTGCGGGAGGGGGCTTGCGAATCGCTGCTCTGACGGTACTGCAAAGATCTGCCAAGGAGACATCAAGTTGGACAACTTCCTCTATGGGGGTGAGAGGCGTCATCTTTTGCAGCCGGGTTGCATGTCACAGACCTTCGGAGGCTCCACGGGCAAGGAATGCCCGAGACTATCCCCAGACTGCGAAAATGAGCTGCAAGATAGTCGACCTCGAGAAACCAGCCACGTAAGAATGGAGTTCATGACATCAGCTATGACATGAGCTGGCCAAGAAGTAACGGTTGAAGAAATCCAGCAAGGTACTGCAATCCAGTGAATCAGGATTCAGTCGAAGCGACTCATAGGGTAACTGGGCTGGGGCGGCTGAACGGCAGTCGAAAGCGTAGTTGGTTGAACCTCTCCGCCAATCTCGTTGGATTCATGCTGTTGTCTCTTGCTTTTCAGTTCATGTTTGATCGATCTGCTGGTTCATGTTCGACAGGCTTTGCAATAAAGGAGAAACCCCCGACCCATTGTCGCAGACATCAAGCTCGCCTGGAAGCATCTCGTGGTTCTGTGCAGCACTGTCAAGCTTACACGGAACGTCGTTGTTTCTTAAAAGGTCCCGATCGGCAGTTGAGATTCATGGGCTTCAGGCAAGCCAAGCCCAGGAGGGCCGTTCCGATCAGGAGGACGTCAACAAAGCCTCAGTCATCCATGCAGCGAAGGGTTTCCAGCGTCAACGACCTCTGGTTGCTGGTTGCATTCCAGAAAAAGCATTCAAACAACAACAAGCAACAACAAGGGCATAGCTGAAGGCTTGGGCCCCTGGCCGACTCCGCAGGTGCCGCACGATCAAGCTCTCGGACTTCGGTTTGGCAGTAAGACTCCCAAGACGAGGAGCTGTCAAAGGCACCGGCTGGGCGTGGTACAGCGCCAGGGGCTTTTTCCTTCATCGAGCTAGTCAGCACAAACCGCTTCAACATCCATGACTTCGTTTACTTTTGCAGTTCATCTGGCGTCAACGTCATTCTTTCTGTCGTACGCCGTTGAAGAAGGCAGAGACAGGATCACCTGCGGCGCTCATTAATCTTCACTTCCTGCGGCCTCTTGTCGAGGACTCTGAGCCCTTGCACTACTCTAGCTTGAAGTTTTGTCTCCCTCCTCTCAGCCTTTGGGTTCGTCACGCTTGGCGCTGATAGTCTGGCGCCCCATATTTATCCGCGAGACCCTCGCATCCCGCCTGTATCGATGTTGCCGGATAGTAGACGAGTCCTCATGGCTGCGGTGTCCGCATCCGTCAACGCACCCTCGACCGTGGCTTGGGGCACCTGTCAGCCTGTGACAGCCTGTGGCTTGTCCGGTCCGCGGCCCGTGCAGTGCCGTGCAGGTGTGTCTGGAACTGCGCCCTACATGTCGCCAGAGATGCTGGGCAGAAAGAAGTATGACACCAAGACAGATGTGTGGTCCTTTGCTTCTACAGCGCAGCTTGGGATGAACTAGCATTCCGGACAGTGCAGCATGTCTCTGATGGACTTTTTGTCGAACTACAAACCAGTTCTGCAATTCAATTCAGCTCGTGACCATGTGCTTCCGATTACCGTGTCGTCAAGTCTCGAGTTGTACCCAGAGCAGCTCAGCTTTCTGCACAACACTTGCATTTCTCACGGCTCAGTGTAGCTTTTAGAAAGCTTTGCGCTGTCTATTTCACTTCCGATGTTTCGCGAAAAAATAGTGAGAATCAATGACTGACCATCTCCAAACGTTCAGCCCGGCTGCGTGTCTCAGGTATGTGATCTTGTATGGCGATGTGCCCTACTCACCGGCTCAGCCGTCTGCTCCTGCAGTGAAGAAGGACTGGCTAAGACGAGCATGTCGCAGGGTAGAAGCTGTCGGCTCAGAGCAGTCTGGAAGTGAGTGTTGAGTGTTTCGCAGCATGCGGCATGCAGATGAGATGCTGCAATCCCTTAACAGCGAGCAGGTGCATATACTGTTAGTTCCAGAGGCACAGCATAGCAACTCTGCCTTCGACAAGATTCGAACAGGCGATCGTCCTTGCATATCCACCACCCACTTGGGCGGCTTGGCGGTCAGCTCGGCAGAGCACGGATTTAGCAAAGCCTGTCGTGTTTGACAGTTTTCATTTCTAGACTCGTCTTCGGGAGGGCGTTGCGGCTGTCTCCGTTAAGCCGTCACGTTGTGAAGCCGGTTGTTCGCTGCCTGCACTCCGCTGCCCCGCTCCATGTCAGCTCAGGCAAGGAATGAGAAGTTGGCCAAGCGCTACAGCCAGCCAAGCCAAGGTCCGGGAAGGGCTGTTCGCAGTGCAGAAACGGAGCACTAAGCCTTAGCCGCTGCGACCGGCACTGTCCGTTGAAACGCTTAAGAAATCCGACATTCTGTCCTCGGCTTCCGCTATGACCGAGGCGCCGAGCACTTCTGCCGCTTCTTGTTGCTGGGCTGGCGTATATGCTTTGCTTGCCGTGCATGTCACTGCATGTCCATGCTTGTCCAAGATGCCAGCCAGGTTAGTTCGAGATCCATCCCTTCGGCCCACGGTCCAGCAGGCTTTAAA